GGAAGAGTACACAGAGAGAGAAGCATCCTCTTCCTGTTGAGCATTCACTTGCTTGCCTTAGCTGGTAATTTCTGGATATTTCTGTACTGTAGAAAAACAGACAGCCAGTGGGAGTTCTTTGTTGCCAGAAAGAGACAGTTGCACCTTTTTTTCTTTTAGCTGAAAGATATATTTTGTATTCTATCTGTCCTGTGCTTGCTTTTTCTCTACTTTTTTTCCACTGATGTAACTCCACTGAATTCAGTGCAATTGGGTGTAATTAGTATTACATGTAGGACAGATGCATTTGCTTGAGTGTCTCTTGGAACTGTGTATGGCTGCAAGCTTTGGGATCTTCACACACTTTGCTGTATTTGTTGTGAAATATTAACAGGAAAGACAGGAGTTGGATGTGCTGCTAACCCATAACATCCAAGGAGCTACTGACCTTGGCATTCCTACAAGGACATTAGTTGATGTGACATCAGAAAAACATGGGGGCCTCTATAAAAGATTTATTCAGTTCTCTGTGAATAGCAAGCAAGTAAGTGTCTCCTCTGTATTAGTAAGATGTGAAATAGAGGTTAGAGCGAGCCAATTGATTTGGTGACCACTGTTTTTCCACTTGGAATAGCTATGCATGAGGCCTTTATACGAGTACTCTGTGCGGGTGCTGGTTTGGTTTTAAAGGCCTTAAATAAAGGAAGTGTAAGACTACCTGAACTGTGGACTGTGTACATGTGCTCGGTGCAGAATAGCATGAGACCATTGAAGAAATGTCTTCAGTGTAGAAATCAATCAAGAGCCTTAAAAACAAAAGGTCTGATTTATTAAAGGCCTTGCCTGAAGCTCAGCAGAAGGAATTTCACCAAGTCATGGCCCCAAAATGGTACCCAGGCTGGTTAAGAATTGACTTTCTTTGCCTTCACTGAGTGTTGGGCTGGCCTTAGAGTACTGAACTGCCAACTCCCATGTATCTTTCAGTCACTCCTGCTGCACAATCCCTTCTAGCAACAGATGTGATATCAGCAGTGATCTGTGATTCCCATCTGTAACTTGTGTCTAACCTGTCTTTTCAAGTGTCTTCACTTGGTGCAGCTTACTCCCTATTACAGGACACAGATGTGTAGTGAGGAACTAACTTTTGTATAGGTCACTTTTTTTTTTTTAAGTTTTAATAATTTAATGTGACAGAAACAGTAATTACAGTTAATCAGAACAGTGTCAATATGAGAGATGTGTCACAGTTAACTTTTGTCATATTTTATTTGGACTAAACAGATTACAGAAGAACTGAGCTTTGTCCAAAAGTTGGATGATGTGTCTCTTAACTACAAAGTTACTCATAACATAGAAGCACTGAAGACTTTGCAAATAGAAGACAGGATTGAGTTGCAGGTAAGTTATCAAACGATGACAGGGGAGACAGGCATCCAGTCTGGAATCAAGCCATGATGGAAGCACAAACTGTAGAAGTCAAATGGCAAAGAACAGGGGGTGTAGATGTGACTTTGTAGAGCGCTTGCTATCTAGGAGAAATTTTTGTCTCCTTGTCAAAGAAAGTAAGATTCTACTCATTCAGTTGTTAACTTTGGCATCTTTTTCATGTTTTCACTTTTTTTTTTTTTTTGCCATCTTGCATCAAATCACAGCACAGACTTCAAAGTTGCTTTAGAATATTGCTTCACTTAAAAGTCAAAATTTATACAGGAAAAAAAGCTTGATGCTACTAAATGCAGCCAAAATAAAGCAATCCATAACTACAAATGATCTTCTACCTAATCTAGCAGGGACAAGTGGCAAAGATTGTTCTCCACATTTCAAAATACAAGCTAATGTTCAGTAATGTGCCTTTCTTCTGATTAAGGTGTCTTGAGTTGACGCACCGTCTCAGCTTCTTTTCTCATTCATAATCTTCTCCAGTCCCATGCTGTTCCTTATCTATACTCTAAGTTAGGCCTCTGTTACCTTTAATTCAATTGCTGCAGAGAGCAGTAGTGTCCTCTGTCCTGCTGCGTAATTTGAAGTATAGTGGAATATTCATTATGAAAGTGCGTTGCAGTCCCATTCAGGATGTGCTAGGCTTTATCTGTATCTTTCTGTGCAAATGAATGGTCTGGGACATTTGCAGACCGTACCTGTGCGTACACGTCGTACCTTTGAGCTGGGATAAGGTGAGGCTCAGAAGTGTGTCAGCGGTAAAAATGAAATCTCTCTCTAATGGTCAGAGACAAGCCAGTTGCTTTCTTGCTATGCAGGTTGTGTTCCTGAGTCCTGTAACGCATTGGAAGTGGGAGGAAGTTAGGGAAGACGCTAAGTGAGGTGTAGAGATGGTCAAGTAGATTGCTGCTTAGGCTCTTGATGCAGTAAGATTTTTGTAAATTCAGATATTGTCCCAGGTCAGGCTGTCTACTACTGGTTTACACTAGCACCTATATTTCCTTTTTTTCCTTTCTTTCTCCCCAGGCTTTTCTCTCTCAGCTCCCCCTCCCCTTTTTTTTTTTTCTCCTGTCTAAAGTTCAGGGTGGAAGGGAGCCCAGAAGCTAACTTTATTCTTGACAGATTCAGAGAATAGCTTCTTGAACCAGATGTTTTATAGGAAGAGGAGGTTGGAGGTTGGCTCCTGATCTGTGAAAAGCCTGGGCCACACTGGAGCTTGCAATACATGTTGCACAAGGAGGCAGTGCGTTTTAGCTAATATACCTACTCTGTCTGATAGGTCTGCAATGTGCCATGTATCGACTAGATGGAGGTGAATACTAATACGGCTTCAGGGTTTACATTCAGAATGATATTTTCTTCTTAAAGCCTGATTATCTAGCCTATTTGTATATTTGAGATACAGAAGCCTACCGCACAACACTAGCTCTTTATTAATCGTTTAGCAGCCTGAATAGGGTTAAGGTAAGTACGTACTGGAGGATACTTGTTAAATTGTGGAAATTAAAAAAAAAATTGGGAGCTTTCTTCAATGTCTGCAACTGTGTTATATTACAAAATGATGCGAAACAAGTTTTTACTGGACCTTCATTTACACATCTTGGAGATGAAACTGCCTGAACCAAGGAAAGAACCCTGACTAACAGGAGCTTTACTTTGTACAAGATGCCTTTTCACAAATTATCGTTGTATCACACAGACTACCTTGGACCTGAAAGCGATCAAATGTTTTATTATTAAAGCACAATATGGTGGTTACCTGATGATTCTTGAAGGACAAATCCAGGAGTCTGAAACAAGTACCAACATAACTGGGAATTTTCAGCATACTTGGCCGTGGCTGCTACAAGCCAGAGTGCCAACATCTTTACAGGTAGTTTTTATTTAAAAAAAATGAAAATTGCTGTCCTTTTTTTTTTTTTATGGTGTAACAGCTTATGGCCTGAGTGAGGACTGCCATTGTGTAAGGTATAGAATGAAAGATGAAGTTTTCTCCTGATATTTACAAACTATCAATGGCTACAATATGGCCTACTAATATGTTAAGAATGTATTAATTGGCTGGTTTCTGAATGAGGTTATTCCATTCTGATCAGTGTTAGTACAGCATGTTTCATGGGTGTTGTGACTCCTATAGGAAGATGGTTTCAGTATGTTGTTCCAGGAACTGGAATATTGCTCCTGTGTTCTTAAATGGGAATTTTACACTTGAAGAAGTATTTCTTCAAGTGCTGTCTTCGGGGAAGTATTGAAGTATCTTTTATCTAATAAGTATTAGCAGTATGCAGGGATCAAGGATAACTGGAGTCCTATTTTTCATCTTTTTGTGGGAACAAAGAGAACCTAATGAGAATTTGACATAAATCACCAAGACGAAAGTGATATGAAATTCATTCACTTGAGTGGATTTGATATTAGAAAGTCATAGATGAATAACGAAAGGCTAAGATTTTGTTCTTAATGGATAGATTTTTGAAATATGCATAGACTAGAGAAAACTTTCACTTCCATTTGTCTTCTGTTTTAAAATTAAATGGTATTTAAATGATATTTCAAATACCTAAATCTGCATGTCTTGTGTTAGATAGGTGTGTTTTTTCAAGGAAGAAACGCTACTCAAGAAAGACATATGCACATTGCAGCTGGAGAAACATCAGTGACATACATAATGAACTCTTATTATGTTGGTCATCAAATGGATATTTTTTGCCAAAGTGTACATAACAGCAAGACTTTACAAGCATCTGGCTACCCTAAGGCAATCAATCTGATTCTGAGTTTACAGAAATTAGGTAGGTACCTGCTGTTCCTTTTGGAGTTCCTGTTATGTAGTAGCTCTTTAAGGATGTTTCAGCTGTTCCTTTAACAGCTACAAACTGATTCACTAAGATTTGCTGGTAGAACCTAATAAGGGACAGGTTTTTTTTGTTGTCTGCAAATAAAAGTGTCATTCTTAAACTTCATAGGTTATTAGTTAGGTTGCATCTTTTTTTAATTCCAGAAAAGATTTTATGTGGTACAACACCTAGTAAAATAGGTGATCCCCAGGATACTTAGCTGCATGACCTAAGAAACTGTCTTTTTCAGCATCACACAGTGAAACTTGTTACAGAGCACAAAAAATGTGAATCCCAAGTGTAATTTTTAAGTGTTTTTTGAAAATAATTATAAATAATTTTGCAGGACTTAGTGATGTGAAAGATGAGATCTTGGTTTTCTGTGTGTATGTGCACATTCTTTAAAGCCAACTATACATTTTCTCATACATTTGTCCATTGTTTGGCAAATATTGACCAAGTGCTTTCTCTAGTTCATGGTCTGCTTTCACTTGTATCATAAAAAACCACAGAAATCTCAAAATCTGTCAATACTGTTTACCAGTGTGGTACCTTGAAAAGCTCTTGACAGACTATAGAAGAGTGGTCATTTATCAATAAAATG